GGAGTTGGAGGTACTTAGGGTGGAGATGAATGAGGTAATCACAGGCTCTCATATTTTCATAAACAAAGCCTACCAAATTGTGGGTGTTGCAATCACGTTGTCATCAGTTCAATCACCAGCGTTGGAACATGATTGGTCGTGGCAGCATGACTGAAATTTATCGCAGTTAATTTACCACCAAAGGGGGCTGGGGTTTCACAACCTTTTGAGATGCCGGAGGTGCCAGGAATATGTTACCTTTAAGGAAACGCTAACAGTTAAGATTTTACGCCACTTCTGGAAAGATGATGAAAAATTGCAAATAGCTATGACGCACTCCAGATGCATTTCAAAATTTCCTGTTGTTTGAATATTAGCACTTAGGGAGGCGAAATACACTTTTACCCACAGTAAGTGAAGTTGACTTCACGCATGCACGAATGCGAACTGCACGTGACAAGTCGAGTCACTCTCTTATTTGTTAAATTAAAACTGAAGTAGTGATCTAGAAACCGTAAATTCTTCCGCCACTTCTTCTTTTAGGAACTTGGAGGTATTGCAAGACAGACGCTGGAGAGGATTCCGGAAGCCTTCAACACTCTTGTCGAAGAGGAGGAAATTCCACCGACGACTGATTCTACCTTTCTCACTAAGACTTAATTCCACTCTTTCGCAGTCTACTTAAAAGTATTTAAGCGTCTCACATCATCAATTTCAGAGATGTAAAAATAAGGCTTTGCCATAACTGGAGTATTTGACGAATCTCATTCAGTCGCTTAACAGGGGGTAGCAGGTAGTATCTTCGGTGGGTTAGAAGGGTAGATATTCGTCCACCAAACCACTACAGTTGGCATCAAGTCATCAACTACACCGGTTACGTTAAATCGAATGGATTCTAGTTTAAAAGCGAATTTGGCGTCGGTATACATCTTGACGACTGAAAGAACTAAAAATAAGGAATTTCCATCGTGATGAAAATTTGGTCGATCGTGGCGCTTTTTATTCTAAAGTCCATTCGATAGGTTTTTTGTGATATTTTGTGAGAAAAAACTTGTCACAGAGGAATTCTCAAAGTATCTTCTTGTTTAAAACAGGCGTAATTACAAGCTGTCATCTACTCTTCCCGAAGCAAGATGCAAGCAGGCTGCATTTACCTCACTCACTCTCTTCTCCCAACTAAGGGTCTTTTCACGAGTAAGTCGCAGGTAGTAGATGGTGAGTGGCTTGTTTTTGCATTGCATGATGGAACTAAGATTAGGAAATTCCTCCCACTTACTGATCCGTCCTTACCGCCTCCAGGACAGTTGTACTTGCAGCACTTCGAGTTGTCTCGAGATACACGGAGCAGAGAGACACCACCTGTCGCGATTAGGTGCTCTCCAGTAGACAAACAATGTCATCAGCAGTCTACCACACACACACAAAGCAAGTACGGACTTTTGAGGAGGAAGTGACGGGTGACCTAGAAGTGAGGGTCGAACATCGAGTGGGTCGTTCGAAATGGCTGTTGAGCGATACATTCCTTCACTTGACTTTGTAATAGCCCACAAATGACACTTCTCATCGAGTTATTCGGTCGACATGCGTCAAAAATAACACGGTGGAAACGCGCTTTCCCTTCGTTGTTAACATCACTTCGAGAAA